TCAGCCTGGGACACAGCTCCTGACTGGCCAAGAAGTCAGCAGCACTAAGGTCATTTGGAGGAGGTGGTGCTTTAACCCCAGACTTCTAGCTTTCTGCTGGTTACTGTGAAGATGAAGAATAAACAGTCTCCCCCTTGAAACTTGCTCCTAAGGGTACTGTGGTTTTCCTTCCACCAGAGCACTAAAGACAAGCTCCGGGCCTCATGCATTGGTGCTTCCAGCATTACAGTCCCAGAGGTCTGCTCACACATTAGGCTTAACGCTACTGCCAGATTAGGGTCAGGAGGGAATTTTCCTGGATTGATAGAAAAACTGTGGTTGCATCTTTTTTTGTGTGGTTTTGGGGTTGGCTTTTTTGTTTTGCTTTGGTTGGTTTTTTGGTGGGTGTTTTTTTCTGCACTTCTTCAAGTTCACATCTATTTTCTAGATCCTGTGTAATTCTTTTCCACACTTTCTCTGCTATCGCCAGGCTGCAGACCTGACGGTCCCTTACCGTCCCTGCTTGTCTCCTGCGGCATGTTACAGCTGCAGCTTTTGTGCTGAGAGGAGTAGGGAAGCATGTGCAGCGTCTGGTTTCTGGGGTGAGTGGAGCAGATGTCCAGTTTAGAGGCAACAGCAGAACATTCATTGCACCTTTACTCACAACTACAGGATGCTTGGCTACAGGATGACCCTGGAGAACTGCCCCAATGTGAACACAAGTATACACGGTAACTGCAAAAGCAGCTGCAAGAGGGAACATGGGAATTAACCCAGGCTCTCGGTTGTACAAGCGCAGATTTAAAGCACACACAACCGCTGGCTGGTCTCCAGGGCTTGCTTGCAGGCATGAGGGGATTTGAGATGAGGGATGTGTAAGAGAGCGGAGAAGGTGTAAGAGCGAGGGACCCCCAAACCTGCAGGCTCGGTGTGCAGAGAGCATCTCTCCCAGCTCTCAGGACCTCCTCTGAGCCCACATTTCCAGTGGTCCCAGTCCCGAACTCCCATAGCCTCTCTCTGCAGGTACCCTGAAGCTGGGTACCCCTGTGAGGCTCCCAGACTGGGAAGGCAGAGACACAACACAGCAGCAGCCTCTGCCCTGAGTCAGGACCTCTGAGCTCTTGAATGTGCAGGGTCAGACTGAATCTCAAGGGCTGGTGGTCCCAAGGAAGAGAACGCTAGTCCCAAGGAGCAGTGCACAGCCAGGTTTGTGCCTGGCACCTCTCTGCACGGGGGTCACTGTCAGCTCTCAGGGCGAGCACACTGAACATCTTCAGGGTGAACATCCCAAGTGTGGAAAAACACACGCACCTCACAGCAATGTGGGGGCTCAGCACCTGGCAGCATCCAACTCCAAGGTCCCAGGAGAACCTTTCCTGAGGATAAGGGACTCTGCTGTGACTGGGGAAATGCTGAGCTCTGCAAAGCAACGGGGACAAGGCCTGTGCAGCCTCCAGCCCTGGGCAGAGGTGTGCAAGAAGTGCTGCTGTCAGGCTCTCCTGCTGCCCCACTGCCTTTTACACATGGGGTCCAAACCAGCTTATGCACAGAGCACAGGCTCCTCATCTTCCAGGTTTTACCCACAACAGAAGATCACTCTGGATGCTTCCCTTCTAGCTTGGAGATCACATTCAAGATATACTAATTCGCAAGGTGAGGAATGAGAAGGGAAAGGGAGGAGGAAAGTGCAAAATCAGCATCAGTGCACTGGAAGTTTTTTCCAGCAGAAGGGTGCAGATGTCAGGGCCTGGTGCAGGGAGGGTTAGGGCAACCACAAAAGTGGAGCCTGCAGTGGGAACAGAAGGGGAAATGTTGAGAATACCTTGAAGAGAAAAAGAAATAAAGCAAACACCCCAGCTCCATTTAATGACATCTTGGAACACACTGCCCTGTAGCCTCCATTCTTGAACTGCTGTGGCTCAGGGCAGAGCCACTCACACAGGCAGCACAGGATTCCAAGGGATGTTGTGACTTGTAGGAGAAAGGCTGTCTGTCCCATGTGCCCCATGTGCCCTGGGTGAAGCAGATCTACTTCCAAGAAGCACCTGCCAGAATCTGGGGTCCTTACAAAGCCCCAGCTCTGCCTCACCTCTGGAATGCCTCTGGAAAACCTCATGGGTGTGACTGATGACATTGGGGCAAAAGATGTGCATGAGTTGCACCTCAGTCTCTTCCCAAGGGCACCTGTGAGGCAAGGGTGACTATTCTGGACCGCCAGTGTGGCCACCAGCAGGACTTACCTCTTGGTGTGCACAGAGAGCCAGGCCATGGCTCTAGGTCCAAAGTCCCAAACTGGGCTGTCTGCAGTGCAGCAGGGTGGTCTGGCTGGCACAAGGGAGGCACACAGAGCTGCCTGCCTTTGAGCCAGGGGCCATCCACGCACACAGCTCCCAAGGCAGGCATGTCCCACATGTGCTAGAACTCAGGACATGCATCCATGCTGCCCTGCTACCAAGACAGCTACTGCCTACTGGCTGCAGGGCTGAGCGAGGGATGTGCTCTAAGCGCTGCTCCTTTCTGCTGTTCCTCAGTCCTCTCCAGACAGCTCCCGCCAGCACCCACACCTTCAGAGAGGTGGCTGCACACCGCTTCCTGCTCTCCTGCCTCCTCTTTGCAAATCGGTGCCTTTGCTGCCAGCTGGGCGGCAGGAAAACACCTTTCTGCAACTCTCACACCCTCCACAACAGGCCTTAAATCAATAACCCCAGAACACAGGGCCAGGTTATTGCTAACGGAAACCATTAAACTGTAACGTGGGGGGATAAAGCCAGCCTCTAACACTTGAAAGATTTATAGGGCACAACAGCAGGGTGTTAATTCTTTTGGTGACATAAACATTTTCACATTCCCTGCCTTTCCTCACCTGCAGGAGCGAGGGGAGGGGGCCACGTGCAGCCCAGCCCCAGGAATGAAAGGACAGCCGTGTGCGTGCTGTGGCCAGCAGCACACACATTTGGAGGGACACCTTGCTCATAGCACTGCCCAAATGCACGCACCTCAGGTCCGTGGGGCAGCACATTCCATACGGTTGTTCTGCCCTATGTCCATCTTCAGCTTCCCCATGACACTCCCAGCTCCCATCTGCCTCCATAGCTGCAGCAGAAGTTCAAGGAAAACTTTGAGAGCATCTAACACAGCTGGAGAAATCAGACCAGATCTTGGGCACACAAGCCCTTCCTCAGACTTGAATCAGTCTAAAGTTTGCAAGTGTTCTCAAAGCTAATTGAACAAGCTCTCTCCCCGCAACCCTTGCTTGGACTTACACGCTGTCAGTGCTGCTGTGGCAGCTCAGAGACGGGAGATGCTTGTCAGCACCATGACGGATCCAGCTGCCCTGGGCAGGAGAGGGGCTGCATGTGTACTGCAGCAAAAGATGTTTACATGGACTACCAAAAAGGGACACATACCTCCCTACCTGGCCCTGGCTTTCACCCCCTCCTGCAGCCTTCCTGCCAAACCAACATCTGTGGCAAGAGCTGCATTACTAACTAACAGCTCCCTACTCACCTTCCTCCGTCTTCCCACTCACATCTTTATCTGCAGCCGTCTCGTTGGACCCTTCCCCTGTGCAAAGTCCAGGCAGGAGAGGACAGGGTGGGGGCTCATCCCGCTGGCAGCCTCACTGCACCTCACGTACCTGAGGTACTTGTGGAGGCATCCCTGGGCCCAGCTACGGAGCAGCACCTGGTGTGCAGGCAGGAGCATCCCCCTCCATCCAGGGAAGCAGGGAGGACACAAAAAAACTAATCGCAGCGCATAAGACTGACGGAGCACACGCCTGGTACACTCCCAAAAGGCCTCAGGGGCTTGAGCATCATCCCAACGGCATCATCAGCTTGACTGAACCCCTCACTCTGGGTTTATTCCTG